ACTTGTGATATTCACAGTTGTTGTTTGATATTATTTTACACAATGTTCACTGTAAATAATCTTAGTGGCATTAAGACTGAAGCACATCATAAATCAGTTCACTCATAGTATATCTAGTGCGGTTGTGTATGACTGCACCCAACTGGTCAATACTGCATGCTAATACTAGCATGATATACAGTCTAAAAGGAAAACATAGGCTACAAATAATCATTTTTGTCATTGATTGAAATTCTATCGCATCACTCTGCCTCATATAACCTTGCATAAGGAATCCCTGAAGAAAACCCAAATCAATTTTCTTAAAGAAAACCCTTCTTGATTGCACTATATGTCCATTAAAACTATCTTTGTGTGCAGAGCCTGAGCCAATCATGTGAAAAGATGGAAAAGAACAGCTGTGCTGAGCAAAGATTATTAAGATTTCTATCTGGCAAAAGTATCAAGCACATCTGATGGAATTGAAGGGACAGACTTGCAGGTCATCACCATGAACCTCTATTGTCATAAACAATCAGTCTGGCTCCCACATATGAATGCCATCACCTACAATCCACAGAGTAGAATTCACCACACCTGTCAATCATCACATCTCAGGTTGAAGGTGAAATCATTAAGGCAGAACTGCATCCATTTAAAAAAAACTATTTGTCTTTCCCTCTTCACGCAGGTATGCAAGGAGTTGCAAGTTCTCAGAAAGTAAAGGATCTTTACTCACATTTAACTGTTAGCAGGTAAATGTGAGTATTGATCCTTCAAGGGGCATTTTCCTTTGGATACTTTGGTCTTTTTCAGATTCAGAGGGAAGTCAAGGTTACAAACCTGCTTCTTTGCCTTGTCCTAAATACTGAATCAATGTTTAAAGGAATTAAAATCCCACACCTTTTAAATTCGAAACATTTGTCTCACAAACTCTAGACTTACCCTGACAATAAAATGTGAGATTGTGAATGCTTGCCCTTTTGGTTTTTTTTATAAGTAATATATTTATAAAAGCGGCTGTGCAGAGAGGTTTATCTATCAATCAATCAATCAATCAGCCAACCATCTTATCACCTTCAGCAGGCAGCAGCCCCAAGCAGCAGACACTTTTATCACACTAATCCGGGTAACTTCAATGGTGAGCCTGTCAAAGCAGCAGGGATAAATTAGTTTACGCCAACGCTAATTGGATTTAAAGCCGGGAGTGGGCTATGAACTCCTGGCCTCGAACACTGAAGTGAACAACTTCTGTGTCTACAACCAACATGATCAACAGCATTAAGGCAATTGTGGTTGATTGGTCACTTCAGTAGCATTGTGCGGTCTGTCAGGTCTGTCAGTCACTTTATGGCTCTGTGATCATCAAACTTACCATTGAGACCAGGACAACTGATAAAAATTTGTCTGCCTCTGGGATTTCTGCAGCTGCTTAGCAAAATCATATGGGACACTTTAAAACATCATGTACCGTAACTGCTACTACTGTCTGTTTACCCAGAGCTTTGAAGTCCACCCCATGTCTTTTTTAAATGTGTACTGTGCAAAGTAGATCTGTGCAGATTATGAATCATACAGGGACACACATTAAAAACACCTGGACTATAAGTAGTCCTTTGGAGTCACTGTTTTACATGAACTATGTTAGCTGGACTTAAAATACTTGTTAATAATTTATACAGAGATGACTTAAATAGCCAAATATCATATGACACCTGGCTATTGCAGATAAGATTCAAGACATTCCCGCATGCCATTGATTTCTTGGCCACGCTTGACTGTGCACATGTTACTACTGCCCCTCAGGTCTATTTAGCCAGTGGTACCAAAATCAACACGTGATTGCCACATGTTGATTTTGGAGCTTGGAGCATCTAGATCAAACAATGACGCTCTCTGCACTCAAATAACAGCATAACAGGATCCAAACCACGTAAAGTGTAAATGTGATCGTCATTTTTAAAACAAGCGTTGTATGCTAAACACAAACCTATGGAAATTACAAGTATCATTCCACTATTCTTTATCACCTACTATGTCTAACTGTATTCTTACTATTTATTATTGTTTATTACTATTTATTGATTGTTGTTCGACTGACTCAAATTGTAAGTCACTTTGGATAAAAGTGTCTGCTAAATGTGTTGTAATAAAAAATTAAAATCAGATCAGAATTGGCTATAAACTATTTGCCATCGTCTGCATGAAGATCGTTTTCTTCCAGCTTTTATATAGGCATATGTTATATGAAAGAACAAGATCGGAACCTAAAGCCAAAAATCAGGACACTGGTAGTCACTGCTGTCCTTTACTTGTCCTGAGTTCACAGTGAAGTCAATTATTTTTGTTGGACTCCAATAAAAATGAATCACTTTGCTCGCTCCGTGGATCCCACTTCAGTGTGTAATTCAAAAACCATCTACAGGAGCAGATTATTCACAATGACTCAACTCTTCTGCCACAATTCAAGACGTGGCTTTAAATATGACAGCTGACTCAACAAGCCTCTGGTGCAGGTTAAACGAGTGTCTCCAGAGCCCACAGTCTGCTTTGGAACCCTCGGGAGACGACCCACCACAGCTGCAAGTCTGTGTACAGCTTGAAAACAGGACTCCAGACAACATATTTGTGTCTTTGGACAAAACATGTCCTTCTGAGCATATGCAAAATAACAAACACTGAGTTGAGAGTACGTGTCCTACTGCAGTATTAAAGACCAAAGACTAGAAATGGAGTTGCCACACTGCAGTGAGGGACTTAACCAATGAGTAAAGACTTGGCTGTCACATAGTAACGATGCAGCAATGGAGGCTGCAGCAGCAGTGCGATGCATTTAGAGACAATATGACAGAGAAAAAAGGACTCAATCAAAATTCAAAAAGGCCAAATTAACAGAGCTAAAGCTCAAACACTGCCTTATTTATTCAAGCTCCCTTCAGTTTGGCCAGGAGTACTATTTTGTCAAAAGTCTAATGAATCTCTGGCTTGGTCATATGAGCGTAGCTACTGTTTTTTGTTATCACAGATCACTGTAGGCAAAAGCCACAGGGGACAATTTGGAGAAAAAGTGTCTGTTTTGACAAGCAATTTAAACTCCGTGGTGGCCTGTTTCACAGAGAGGCTGTCAAAGCTATGGTTTTCACAAGGTCAGTTGCCAGTCTGTAGTGTGTTTGCACAGAGGAGGATTAAAAAACAAATACACAACACGAAAAAGAAAACAAGGTGTTGGCAAGAGGAAAGATGTGGAGAGATAGAATGTTAAAGAAGGCAGATCACAGTAGAGACTACAGCAGGTCTTCCTCGGCTGCAGAGGACAGGTCGTTTTGTCCAGGGCTGCAGTCACTTCCTCATTCTTTTCATATTCAGGTCCATCCTGCAGTTGTTGTAAAAAGGCTCAGGGTTTGATCTGCAGAGGCAGGAGCGACATGTGTAATGGCCATAACCACACTTCCGTTAAGCCGCTCGTCTTACTGTTGTGTGCTATTCTAAAAAGGCTGCACACTGCTATGCCGGCAGCGTAATGAAAGAACGCGGATTAGCTTGCAGGAAAACTCAGGATTCCCCCTGAACTAACACACACATTGAATGGGGAAACACCCAGAGGGAGGGAGGGAGGCTGGGAAGGGAGGAGGGAGGGTGAGGAGAAGGAAGGAAAAGAGGGGAGGTACAGGCAGGCAGAAAGGCAAGCAGGCTGGAGACTCTGACATCATCCACATGTAGGTTTTCCATGTTGCTTCAATGTGTGTGTGTGTGTGTGTGTGTGTAGTCCTATTTGTCCATTTCAGAGTAGACCACCTATACCGTTCATTTTTGATTTGTTGAAGGACCAATCCTTGGAATGGCCACAAAGAGCTGCTCCATAAATTATGGGCACTATATTTTCGAAGCTTTCGTTAAAGTAAAGAGTAATCATTTGAATTATTCCATTATAAAATTAGGGATTTTGTTGGTTACAGTACTGTACGAATGAATGGAGGTTGATGCAGTGTCCCTAAAAATACAGCTGTGCAGGAATGACAGTATTTTTTCCTGCCATAGCTATACTTGCAGGTAATTTTTTGGAGAAAATACTACTGTTTTGAGGACACAGTGTCCTTGTGGTTGTTTCCATTATTACAGTACTTGATCGTTTGTGGTTAAGATTAGAACTATTGTCAGAATATAGTCAGGGCAAGGATTAAAACCGGGTGTACATTTGTAATAATTGTGGATTGCTCATAAATTACATTATAATTATAAGTTAGTGTGAAGAGGGAGAGTGTGTGTGTGTGTGTGTGTTGTACAATAGCACAAATGTAGTTTTCATCCTCACTGTAGTGGGCATGAAGCCAGTATCCTGAGTTTTGCTGCTGCAACACACACACATACACACACACACAAACGGGCTGCAGGGAACCAGTGGTCACACACTGTCTATCCACTGTATTGCAGCTGAATAAAACAAACAAACAAGCAAAATCACACCAACCACACGTCCTGAACACAGATATAAAACAGCTATTACTGTTGGTGGGACGTGTACGACGGAGACAGTCCCAGCGATAAGCTGGACCATAAATTGGACCAACAGCTCTAAAATCGCCCCCTGTCACGTTAAGGGGCAGCAGAGATGCTGATAATGAGGTATTAGGACGACGCCGTGTGTGTCTGTGGAGGCTGATACTGTAAACGGCTGGGCAGCGCCGCCGGACTGTTTGTTGATGCGCTCCACAAAAAACTGCATTGTCAAAAACCTACTCGTCCCAGCGTAGGGTACAACACCCATAGTACAGCAGGCTCGGCCACATACCGTGACTCATCCCGCCCGAGCCTCAGCGATACCAACAAAGAGACATGATCGGGAAAAAAATCTTAAGGCTAGTTAGCGCTACTTCCTTAGCCAGAGCAGCCAACACCTCCTTCTCCTCCTCCTCCTGCACTGCTGCTGCTCTCCTTCCTCGTCCAGGCTCCCTCTGCCTGTCCGCTTCTACACCTCCTCCCTGTGCGCACACACACAACCACACACACGTCCCGGGACTTACCGGTCGTATGTGCTGATGATGTCGCTGTGAAGAGACAAGAAGTGCGGGCAGGCTGCTGGCGGCCACCGCTCCGCTGCTCCGGGACAAGAGAAGGACCGATCTGCACACTTTGGCAGCCATCGCTTTAGTGAAAGCTTGCCGGGAAGGAGACTGCTGCGGGCGGACCGAGACGCACCGAAGGGAAGAGGGAGGGTGGTGGGCGGGTTTGCGGGGCTGGACTTCACATGCGGCTGCATACACATGCCCAGTGTTGCACCAGTTATATACGTTAGATCAAAGCCCCTCTTCACCTACACGAACACAGACCTGTGGCATAAAAACACATTATAAACAAATATAATGTTTATAGATACAGCACATCTACCAGACCCCAACAACACATGTTCTGCACTGCAACTGTGGCTATTAGACTGGTGGAAGTTTTACTGCATACTAGCTTTTAGTAACTGGCCTTGTATTAAGCTATGTTTTAGCAAACTTATTTTTTAACTTCCCATTTACCATTTTGCACATATTTTATCATTAATTCCATATATTTTTGGCTAACTTGAAGCTATTTCTTGCTTCTTTGTGGAGGGATGGAGAATTTTTGCTAGTACACCACATGGGCCACTCATACTGTATGGATCACACAGATTGTTATGGTCTGACAACTGTTAGGATTTTAACCAAAAAATACAAATTCTTGAGAAAGATAAATATCTATAATCAAATGTGTATTGTATATGCAGCCTTGTTTGCTTGGTCCAGATTTCTTTAGATCGAGATCTTTAGTGTGTACAGTTTCTCTTGTCTACTCGTACAGCAATACTCCGCTTTGCTTAGTGCTGACTTTGCCTGTAAGATGTTGGGATGTCAGGAAAGACACGGATACAATATATAACTCCCCTCTCTTTTGACTCTTTCTTTAAGCTACATTTTGGCAGGCGTACTGTCACTGATCACATCATCTTGTCCTTTATGCCTCTCCGTGTCTCTAATAGCAGCTTGTCCTTCAGTTATTCCGCTGGCTCTGCCACCCAGACCTACAGTACAGCATATAACATGAAATTTAATTAAAATGATCTTCAATGACATTTAGACTGTATTGACGGCTTTGGCACATAAAAGGATTTGAATGCATTTCCGGGCTCCTGTCCTTAAACGCTGGAACATAAGGGCAAGCAGTTAAGTGTGAGGGGGTTATGTTTTCAACAGAATCACTCAACCACTGCAAATGCAGATAATAGCTGCAGTAATGGCTCTGTTTGGTCAATTATTACCAAGGGAGACTCCCCTTCATGGAATGTAAACTGTTCTCTTTAAACTTTGTCCAAGAAAGTTATATAACACAGTTTATAACACCCATGCTGGTCAAGGGTGAAACTTGATAATAATTTTGGACTAATCATTAATGAAAAATTTAAAATAAAGGTACATATTGTTATTAAATGGTGTAAAAAGACCAAAAAAATTCATATTTGTCTGTCTTTTGTTTGTGAATCCTGGTACTAACATGTCATTATGGCAAAACTCTTTTCATTTCCTCCTGTATTTCTTCAAGTGTGGTGCATCAGGCTGTGTGGGCACCACAATTTATATGCAAATTATCCATCATGGGCAAAGACCCGCTTAAGGCCTCGTGGGGGCATTGATTCTCTGAAGAATCTTTGTACTAAATATTACTCTGCATGGGCTCACGCACACCTTTACACTATCACTGTAACTGTAGCACAGATGACTGTATGTCATTAATTTACAGTTAATGAAAAACAAGGCTGCTTTTCCAAATATTTATTCCTGTCAGCCTTCATTTTGTTGGGGTAACCAGGAAACCATAGGGTTAATCCTCCCTTCCTATTGGTGAATACGCAGTAGCTGGAATTAAAACCTGGAAAGCAATATATGGTCTGTGGTGGAAAAAAATAAACTGAAAATATTCCAATCAAACAATATAAACATTTAGAACAAGCTAGTGTCACAAGTTTCATACAAATATGAATAGTGTGTCTTCATGTCTGCTTAGTTTGAAGGGCACACAGACACCACGAAGCAGAATGGCTGCTGAAATTGGAGTCTGCTCATGTCATTGAGGCTTCACACGAGACATCTTTCTTCATTATTGTAAAACTTGTGGATCAAATTACACCATTGTTACATCCCATACAAAGCAGGTCAGTTGGGACCTGTTCTGTCCACGCAAAAACTGCTGTTGTTGCTGTAAAGTCAGTCCTTACCCGGTGGATTTACACTCTCATAAACCAAACAGTTCAAGGAACGGCAAGTGTGAATACATTGTGAGCTGTTGGACTGTCTTATCTTCTGCTACATTTTTGTGCAATATTAGCAGTTTTATTTTAATCATCTTGCACAGCCATTGTACTTCATAGATTGTCTTTGCATTGCAACACATTGTGCCAAAGGCAAAGAGCTATCTTGTAAAGCGTGCCCTAAACACTAATGAGGAACTGTAGAACAAATGGGGGACATAAGAGTCAGAAAGTGGAAACATGAGGAGGGACCAGACACGTCTGGCATGTTAACGTTTTCATGACTGTTAGCTGATCTCTACAGGCTAACAGGCCAGAAATAGCTCAGACCAGTTCAATTTGCATTTATATGCTGCAAGTCCAGGTTTGGCAGGTGAGGCCAACATTTGTGACAAGTCTACCATTTTCCTCTCATGTGTCACACCTACAGTATAGGGCTGCGTCATTTCTAATATTGCTATCTATGATGCAGCACCATGTGTGTTTTCTGATATGCTTTAAAATGCTTTAAAAGTAGCTGTCTTACCAGCTTAACAAGCTGAACAAGTGTGCTGCATTGGTACAAGAATAATCAAAGTGTTTCAGGGTGTTTGTAAGTAAGATTAATGTCTCTGAGTTACAGAAAATTAAACAACCACCATGGACACCTTACCCATGCTGATATCACTGCCTTGTGGAGCAGTTTGAATTGAATATTTCAATAGTTGGCAATTGCATATATTGTGGGCCTGATAGATTATTTGAATTAATGAACCCTGCACTGGAGGCCTGCAGGCACACCTAGATAGTATTCCTTGTAGGAAAAAAGGCAGGCACAAATTGAGTTAGAGGGTGTATGTGTGTGTTTGTATTATGCATACAGTCTGAATAAACTTAAATAATATCTGATGCAGCGGGTGTGTGTAATACTAATGTGTTCACCATATTCATTCAAACCTTAATATAAAACCCAGAAAAAAAGGCATCCCTGAGTTATGGTTAGAAGAGCTCAGAAACAACATAGAACAAATGCCTGCATTTGACAAAAACACAAACCCAACCAATTACTAACATATTGCTTTTCTTTATTTGAGTCTGATAAATAGAAAATAACATCACCAATAACACCACACTTTTTTGTTGTTCTGCTTTTTTGAAAATTAGGATGGATATAATTGTAATCAAATGTCAGGTTGTGACCCACACCTGAGACGGGCATAATTTTAGTTTGGACTGAGGTGTTTACTCCAGGGTAATTCCTAGAATAAATGTGTGTTGCTCTCTACTATTGTCTGCACTGCAGTTAGTTTCTTCCAGAAATAAACACTTTTTTTCATTGAACTCATGTAAGATTTGGGTAGAGAAACAGGAAGAGAGGAACAAAAGGAGATTTCCTGTTAAGTACAGACATTCATTTTCTAGTGAGTGAATTTCTTTACTGTCTCTGTGTATCTATTGACATTTTAGCTTTATTTTAGTTTAAAATGCCTTATATGTGCTTTTCTGTTTTACCAATAGAGCTGATCTCGATTCTGATTTAATTTAATTATTAAGAACGTAATTTGACCAACATAACATCAACAGTGCTACACAAAAAATATAGACTGATTTTTTTTCTTCTCTTATGGTTGGGCTGCATAGGGCGGAGCAGTAGCAGTAGCCACGCCCCCACGCTGCTGAATGCGGAAGTGTTGTGCTCGCCTCTGCGTTTTATCTGTTTATACAAGGGGGCTGAAGACATTTAGTAAAGCCAAAACGTTGTCTTTCTGGACTGACTGGCGATTCCTTGTCAACAAATGTGAGTAACAGTTTCACTACACTGACATTAGCAGCTGCGTGACTGTCCAGTTTTTTTCTCTGTAACCGCTGTAATTATTTAATTTTCCGTTAGCCTGTTAGCTTCCAAGAGCTGTCACTCATGCAACGTTTCTTGTGACTGCTACATTTGCACTGTTAAACATGTCTCACCAATAGTGATGAATCTTAAACACAGACATGTGTTGCAGCTGCGAAGTATATGTTTTGGTAGCAGACATATAAAAGCTTATACAATGAACAGTATTTACTGAACACGGAGCATAAACATAGTGGTAAAAACAAAGCGTCGGGTCATTTGCATCTGAATGGTAAACTTTGCTTTACAGCAACAAATTGTTACAATAACAGTACATTTGTAACCTTATATTATTAAAACATTACTGTCATCAAATGCAATGATCTTTATCACGGTATTCTTTGGCGCTGACACAAACATCTCCCATAATATTAGTAGATGTAATTACATCATCTTTAGACACTACCTATTTATTTTAGTGCAGGTATTATGACAACGATTTAATTTAATTTGAGTCCACATGAAAACCCCTTCCATCAATGGGGGTTACAAAATGTTAATAATTTTGTTAACGCCATTATCTCAATAATTTTGTCTATATAAATCTCATTATATTAAAATATAACTAACAAAAAACAAATAAAATTACCAACTTCATAAACTAGTAGTTTTTAAATGAGGATACACAAACCCGTAGATGTACTTGACAAGTCCTCCAGACAATACTCAAGATATTTTTTTGTACATCACATCATTTAAGAGAAATCACAACAAAAGCACAGTGCTATGATGTTACAAGCTTTACATAATTATGACACATTATGAACCTTGTAAATGCATAGTTGTCTAAGTTTCCAACTATGTACATCCTAGAAATATGTGATGTCTACAGTGTCTGTACATTTTGTGTCGTAATACAACATGGCTGAACACAGTGTTAAGTTAGCATCACCTTCACAAAGACAGTTTGGAAGAACCACCTTGTCCACAGATCTTTCACCTGCTTTGTTTGCACAGTGGTGCAGTTGATAGCATTTGCAGGCTTGAGAGAACAGCACTAACAGAGGAGGTTGTGTGAGTACACACCTTAAGTAATCTGTGTTCTTTTGTTAAATGTTGTTTAAACCATCTTAAACCCTTACTTAAGAGCACCTTTGCTGTACAAAAAATCCAGTTGGACAGTGTGAGGTGGAAAGTGATGGTGTGAGTCACCTTCATCAAGGACTTGTTTTTCACATCTGTACATGTGTTGCTGATTTATTCTAATAATTATTGGGTAGATGTTTTTTTTTGCTTTCATATACAAACTCTTTTTCAGTGAAATCAAGGTACAAGTTCAGTCCTCCATAAGGAATTCCTCAGTGTTATTAAGCTTCCAAATTGGGAGATTTGAAGACACAGAAGGGAGGAGCTCTGCACAGAAAATATTTTTAGCCTTAATCATGTTGTTTCCAATCACACTCATATACTGTGTTTGTTTTTGTTTGCAACTTGGAAACAGAAAAATCCCAATAGCTACAAACTTGATTCACCAGCATCTGTCAGGTCATCTTAAGCTCCCATTTTTATTTTACCCCGTAGTCTCGTGAGAGCAGGAAAAAAGATAAATAGCTCACAGAAATGACATGTGTACCCACTGTTAGCCTCAGACCTTCCAGTCTGTTTGCACAAGCTGCTGTAAATTCCAACATATGCCTGCTCATCTTTTTTTGCCAAATAATTTTCACAATTAGTGTCTGGATTCCTAATAGGGTATTGACAGGCGGCAGCTTCAGGCATCAGTGGAGTGAGGTCCACCGTCTTGCAGTTTAAATGGGAAATGGTGGATTCTCAGATGCACATACGCCACATCCCCTGTTGATTGTTTAATTGTCTGTCTGTGACACTGATGAATGTACCAAAAGGCTCATTAAAACAAAGCTCTGGAACTTAGCAGCACAGAGGTAATTACTTTTATCCTTGCTTTCTCCTGTTTTTTAATTGACCTGTGTAAATCAACCAGGACATTAATGCTTTTAGTCTCTTCAGTAACTTCAATATATTCTTTGTATGAAGATGAGGTTTGATTTAATTATCAATTTGATTTGTCAGGGTGAGAGTAAGTAAGAACCTCACAGAAGATTGTCCCAGATCCATCGTTTGTTTATTAATTTGTTTTGCATACAGAAACATCATATTTGGCCTCCTAATGGTCAGTTGCATGCTATTTGTTATAGTAATTTAAAGGAGTTTTGGCAACATATCCAATTTCTTTTTCTCACATGTAAACACAAGTTCCTTTGGTTCTGTTTGCAAGGTAAATGTTCAGGAATTGTCTTCTCCTTAACTGTCCCTCTGATCTTCTTGTTTATAATCCTGTCCATCCTGGTTACTCCAGTGAAGATCTCAGCATCTTTATGGTCTCACTACTGTCTCATAGATCTTTACGAGTTGCCAAAGCGTTTCAATAGATACCGTATTTTAGTGTCACTTCCTGTATGGCTGTTGCTGTGTTGGTGCTACAGCTTACCACAGATTTATTAATAGTCCTCTGTGAATAATGAAACCACTGAACATAGTCTGTCTGTTTAATTAATTTACTGTGTTTACAGTTGATTGTGACTGTAATTCACAGCAGATGTAGCCTAATGTGAGTTTAAAACTTTACAGTATCAAATCCTCCCAATTTTTCAAAAATCATTTTACTGGCTAGAAGGAGAATCAAGAACTTTAGGCTTAGAAAGTGTATAAAATTTCCAAGTGAAGGCTCAGAGTAGACAGCAGGTATATGTGCAGGGCTGTAGATGATATGACACACAGTGTATTCTCTCCTTGCTCTGAATGCAGGCAGAAGAGAGTGACCCTCAAAGGTAGTCATATATGCATATTTATTTAAATATTGTCTTAAAAACTGATCAGTCATAATGACAAATATTTATTAAGCCAAATATTGAACCCCTGTAATTGTCCCTAGGGTCATTCTGATCCCAAATGGAACTTTTAGTTGTACTTTTTGCAGCCATGCTTCCATGTAAGCAAGGTCTATTGGCCAACCATTTCAAATAGAGGATGTATTTATGGTAATGGGTTGGACGGAAGTTAGACTGAAAGTGAGACAAAGAATGGATTCACAAACATGAGCTGAATATGCTGTTGTCAACCTTGAAGGAAATTATTTTTTGTTAATGGTTTCTTCCTCAGCTGTGTCTCTTGTACTGCAAATAGTTTTTGTTCACCTGTTATTGTTACTTATAAAATCTACAAATGCATTTTTGTCCTTTTACTTTTATTCATTGTTTGTTATGGTTTTCCCAGAGTTTTTACTTTCATGTTTTCTGAAGTTTATTCAATTGATTGTTTTCTTTACTTTTCTTGACTTAAGTCTGTATGGCTACCAAACTATGTGCAATATACTCTTGTGTGCTAATTATGTCCCTGTTATTGTTCTGCTTTTTAGTCTTTGTGACAGAAAGTTATCCTGTTTTTATCCACAGTGCAGGATGTTCCGCTTGCGGGCGTTGTCTGCTGTTTCACTGGGCCTAGCTCAGCTGTCCCGTCGGTACCACAGTGGTACATCAAGAGGGTCTGGTCAGAGAAGGTTGATGCTTGCAGCTTTGGCAGGAGTGACTGGAGTGTCAGCTTCTACTGGACTCCTCTGGAAGAGGTATGTCCCAGATTTATAATAACACAAGGCTTTGTGCAGTAAGTGTTACACATTTTTTTCATTTGCAGACATAAGAAAAAACAGTAAGTATCAGCTGTGACTAAAACCCTAAGTTTCATCCCATTTTCAGAGTTACATATTGCATGACAGCCTTTTGGTCATATTTCATCTTTTTCCACAATGCTTTATTTTTATGATTTCTAATTCGCTCACATTTCTGCCTGAATTAAATAAAAAACACATTCAGGTCAGGTGTATTTACTCAGCTCCCTCTGTCTCCTATAAACTTTGGCTCATCCCTAAGTCTCCGCACAGCTAAGAGCTGCAAGTTATTTGACAGAAATTACAGAAGGTACTATTGCTGGGTACTGCTTGCCTGCTGAGAACTATAAAATCTTAATTGACTTTTTGTTGGTCCATTGTCTGACCAAATTGCAAGAACACCTCCTGGTGCTGTTCGTGACCAGTCAGACCTGGATAAAGTTTGACAGTAAAGCTAGTATTATCGTTCAGGGTCATCAGTTGGATCCGTGCCCCTGCAGTTATATTGTGAACATTAAAACTAAATTGTAGCCCAAAAGGAAAGGCCCTTTCCCTTTGTCTGTTAATGCTGAGGTGATAGCAGCAGTACATCTCCTACATCAACAAAGTACGTTAACCTAATCAAAGTTAACACAGTCTGTAAAACATGGAATATTTTAAATGTGATTGATGAGAACAATTGGTCTTGGTAACGAGAAACAGAGAAGAGCTTGTCATAGCATGAAGAGTAGAACAATTAAATACTCTTCTGCTCTTCTGCAGATGGTTATGAAAACTAAAAAAAGATAATCAGAGCTGTTGAAGAAGATCTTTGTGAGTGTCCTTCTTCAATTTCTGCCAGTATATCAGAGTTGTCTTCAACTAAACAGGCCAAGATATTAGTCAGTTTTGAGGTCATTTAAACAAGAAGATAATTATATTTCACTACATATATTTTGTGTGAGATTTTTGTTTGGGGTTGTGCCGTGGGGTCAAAAAAGGTTGCAAAAAACACTGCAATAGATGTCATTTGGCAATAACAATAACTTGAAATTTAGTGGATCTGGGTCAGACACAGTGTTAGACAGCAGCAGCTGTGAAACCGTTTGTTTTCAAGCCACAGACGCATGTATTGTAGATAACATTTTATTGTTTATTAATTACCTAAATTGTGATTTTTTTTTTCTATTTGTAAACATTCAAGATGTAGCCCCCGGTGTGTCACATTTTTTATAGTTATCCATTACTAAGGAGGCTCCGATGTAGTTAAGGCAAAAAGGTAAAGAAGCATGTTGACGCTAGAGCTCCATGGGGACATGACGGCTGTGCTGCAGTCACAGAGTGATGGATGATGCCTCTGGGCATTTGAAGCCGATGGGACGAGACTGTTCCAGGTCTTCACCCCGGGCTTCATTTTCCTTGTGTCTCATTAAACTGAATTATTCAGCCTGCTCTAGACAGACCAGCTATCTTTTACTATCATTCCAATTTTCTGTCTCGTCAGAAAAATTTTCAAGTGAGACTTTGACTATTGCACAAATGGCAAAACACCGTGTTGCACATTTTCTCTCCACTGTCCTTTAATGATTTCTTTAAAAAAACGCTTTTCATAAAGAAGTGTGCAATTTCAATAACATGCCTTTTTTTAAAAAAACAGAGCATATGCTGATGCTGGATCCTCTGTTCGACACTCTGAGCAACTGAAGGAAGAGGAAAAGGATTTTTTAACGTCCGAGAGTGACTCCGAGAAATCAGTGGAGACCAGTGGTGGAGACGCAGAAGGGAAGGATGAAGCAGGAGAAGGGAAGAAAAAGAAGCCACGTTCTGGATTCCGTGACCGCAAGGTAATCAATAAATTGTAAACAGCCAGTCGTTCAGACTGCCCCCTATTTATTTCACATTTAGAAGGGTGTTTGAACACCCTCCTAATCAATGCTGAGTATGCAAATGCCAGTGTGTTTTGACAGGATACATTTACACAGACCCCCGAGTTGAGTCAGCAAGAAATTCTGCCATTGTAAATAACAGGAGTGTGTCGCCCATAACATTTAATTAGATGACTACATGCAAAGGGAACAAGGGCTTTGAATGTGTTACCAAAAACACAGGGCTTGTGACTCTGTGTCAATACAAAAAGGAGAAAAGAATAGGAAAGGGTCTCAAATCAATATTTACATTTGTAAATGACGTCACAGTAACCATTGTTCTTTTAAAACATATAGATGGCCTCAGGATTCACAAGAGTTCAAGTCTTCAACTAAAATTCAGCAATCTGTGAACGTTTCCTTAGGTGGACATAATATTGATAACAATCCTACATTTTTCCTTGTCATTAAATTACTGTTTCATCTCATGATGGTGCTTAATATAATAACCAATAAAAACCATCACCTCTTTCCTTAGGTGTTTGTTCTTCACATACACACATGCCGAGGCAAATATTGTTTTGTTTTTTTATCAATTGTTGGCTGTCGGGTGATGATGACCACTCCAAATTGTGTAGTGTAGCCTTAAGTGCCTTTAGTGCTGTTAAAGTTTAATAAAGTTATACTGTCTTAAGCACTTCATGAATAATATCCGTCGATGTATAACATCTCTATTAGTAATACAGACTGTGTGGCAAAAATAATGTACATAATCCATGTATCAATTCAAAGAAATAACAAACCAACTGACCAATACAAAATTGGTCTTTTAATTTAGGTTGATCATAGTTTTGGTGACACCAACATGGTAAAAACACATTGACTTGGTGTAGACTTGAGAAAAACAATTGTTGATGCTCACTAACAGAAAGACAATAAACCAGTGTCAAGAACTGGATGGAGAAGTTCTGTCAATAGCTTCGCTTTTAAAGAGATTCAGACTTGACCAAACGAAAACTGACCGAGTTGTAAAAGAGGCAGTGAACAGCTCAGACCACTCCGAGATTAAAATGTCAGTCAGTAGGGTGCAGTCCAGAAGAAAACATTTTCAGTGTAGTAAAAGAAAAGTAAAAGAGAAGCTGAAGTAGAATAGAAGAAGGTTTGAACATAAATCCCAATTAGTTAGTGTTCAGTCTAGGTATTTTATCATCCATGATAACTTAAAGTCTTTGTATGGTTAACAACTCCAGAAGACCAAAGTCAATGATGGATTTAAGATAATATAATAAGAATCCTTGCTCTGTATAAATGCATCTAAGAAATATTTAAAAGGCTAAAATTCACATATATTCACTCAAGTGTCAGGCAGGCAGCAAGAAAAAAAATGTAGGTTTACTTGTTTAAAATTCAGTGCATTTACCAAACTTGTAGTGATTTACCACTCCAGTGTCAGATGAATAAGAAGCAGTCGGGGAAACAACACACACACAGTTCAGTTGATGTAGTTTGTACACAAGGGGAGAAAGTGTAAACTGTAATGTCAAAAGATTGAACTAAAGTCTCCATCACTTTGGATGATACTGATTTTATTAGGACGTAAATCCTGAGTAAATGAAAGCAACAGGGAGAAATGACAATTTATCTGACTGTTGCATCATTCCATCTCCTCACTTTCACACTTGACTGTCCTGTAACTGCTCTCTCTCATATAGTACACTGCTGCTTCCCCTGGATGTGCAGGTTGTTATCATCCCCAAGGTGATAACATCTAAATAGACTGAAGACACAGTGATGCTGTTTATATTTGGAATGTTTTGTATTGGTGGTTTTACTTCACAACTTTAGGTAATTTTTATATTATTGATCCTGTGTGGTTAATATAACTAGCTCTGCCTTTGCATTTCACTCTATTCTTTTTCACCCACCTGATATTTTTTAAAGGTAAATGTAAAAGGTTAAAAGGTGAATATACCATGGACAACTTCTTTTCCTACTGCTATTAGCCTATTCTAGTCACCACTATCCCTCTTTTACCCTGTACTCACTAATAATTTACTTACCATTCACAAGATGCTATGATAGCAGGTTCTTTTAAATTTTGTTGATGACTTGTATTTGTGTCCGAAATCTCCCACTCCGACATTTATGCTAAATTATTGACCATGCTTTTAAAGGGACACCTGTGTTTGTTGGCCTAGGTGATGGAGTACGAGAACAGAATAAGAGCCTACTCCACACCAGACAAGATTTTCCGCTACTTTGCCACACTGAAGGTCATCGGTGAGCACGGAGATACCGAGGTTTACATGACGCCTCAGGACTTCATCCGCTCCATCACACCTAATGAAAAGCAGCCTGAGAGTGAGTTTTTCCTCTGAGTTACCATCACAGCGTAACCAGAATCCCCTCTTTGTCTATTATTCCTGAGGCATCAAGTCAACGTTTAAACAGATTTGGGCTTTTAATTCCTCTAGGAGATGAGGCACTTTAACTTGTCTTTTAATTATCAGGATTTTAATTAGTCGGCTATAATCTGATTAACTTCACCACAGAGTCATTATAAACCAAAGCATTTTATTCCTCTCATTTTAACTAAAGGGATATTACTAGGGTTTCACATTTTTGTTTGCATTTTATTTTTCATGTAGAGATGATTTATTAAGTTGGAACATTAGGCATAAATGTGTGATCACGCTGTTATTCATAACATTTGAAATGTAGATCCACTTTAGGTTTTTAAGTCCTTAACATTTTTCCTCATCTTATGTACAGTATTTCAAGGAAATAAAGCTACACTTAATCTCTGCAATAGTGACAGAATATAAATCACACTGGAATATAAATATATATTTTGACAGTGACAGTACAATATTTGAACATTTCATTTGGTAATTGTTTCTGCACAAAACCCTTACTTAAATTTTACAGCAACTTTTGTGCTATTCATTTTTTGTATGTTTGTCCAAAGTATAGGAAGCAATGCAACCACAAACCAGGCCTTCTAAAAAGTAATTTTTGGTTACATCAAAGGTATAGGGTACATCTTCCACTCAGACACTCCAGTCGTGTATAACAGAGCAGGCTGGATCATACTCCATGGTCATCACTTTCCAAGGTGAGATGTTTCCAGTTAGCTGTCCTGACTGAGGTTTGTGGAACATGACCAAACTCAGACCACTCTGACCTCACACATGGCAGCTCAGCACTCCTCATAGCTCAGTGTGTAGCCACCTCCCTCCCAAAGGACTGTGTTCAGGAATAGGAATCACGACACAGCAGTCGGTGCATCAATTAGGGGGTTCAAACCAGAGCAGACCTCAGACGTCTCACACGAAGCCAGAGAGAGATATTTGATCTTCAGCCCCTGGAGGATTGTGATGGCAGTGAGCTTAACTTGGCACAGATGTGTTTAAGTTCCACTTCACTTTCAGTCTGTCATCTTACTGTTTTATGAAAACACTGAACTCCAATTAAGAATAGTGTGGAAATGAATGTACGACAGTTTAACAACCTGAGCCACAGATGGTGGTTGAATGCTTGGTGTGAAATAAATATTTAATCCTGAGGATTTGTAGTGAAGAACCCAAGTCTGCTGTTTGGACTTAATAAGGATTAAGTCCTTATTAAGTCCAAACGGCAAACTTGCGTCCTTCATGCAGCCTGTCATGTTTACACTGCCTTTCCTTCTCACCTTAGCAGTTCACCTGTTAAACTATTAAACAAAGTTAAGTCCCCTCATCTGTGGATCTTTGTTTGTTTTGATCTTAAAGGGTCAACCAACAATGACAGAAAGTTAGGATTTGTTTTTACTTTACAGGACCCCATAAAATGTTTGCTTTGAGACTTTCTGTTTGATTTAAAATTGACAAATTTTAGTTAGGTAAGGCCCTCATCTAACTTATCATTGTTAACCATCTCCTGTCCTTACAGGTTCTCCTTCTCCCTCGTGTTTTGAAACTTGAGGTCAATTTACACAACATCCCACTGTAGCAGTTAAAGTGCCATTATGCTGCAACACTACATGTGCACAGTTTTGCCAATATGTTGCCACAAGGATGGGCCATGTATGCAATGTACAACCTACTACTGCAACTGCAGCTGCCTAATAAGGGCAGCAGCTTTGCTTGTATTTGGAAATAATTCATGGCCAACAAGAGCACAAAACTTCCATTGGCTAGCGTTTGTTACTGTGCTTCTTGTCTTCAGCCACACTAAGAACATCACACCCCCATTCTTGTTCAGCTCGGCAGAACACTCTGTAGACACAAGCACACACACATACACACACACAGACACTGCAGTGGCACTTCATAAGACTTATTAGGTTCTGTATAAACTAGCAAAGGCTTGTGAGAATGTACTGAATCCACTGTTTTAAAGGCACCTCAGTTACTAAGGGAAAGTGAAACTACAGCAGGTTTCCACACCTTTTTTCTTTTAACATGCATTCATTTCTCTTAACATATCACTTACTCACATGCAATTTAAAGTTTCAAAAGTAAGCAACAGTGGGGGGCAGTAAGTTGGAGTCCTGGTTGTGATTAAATTGAAAAAATGTGCAACAATTTCGATTTTCTTAGATGAATGTTTAGTCTTAGATATACTTCTCACATTTATCTCAAATTGTAGACAGAGCCTGACATTTTGTTGATAACGTTTTGTGCGTCACTGCGCTGCCTGTCCAACAGTGGGATACTTAAATACGACCCGTTTATTTTTTTTCTCTCTTCTTCAGTGAACCACTAAATAGGGACTGTTTAACAGATTTATTTAACAGATGGTAACTGCCGAGTCTCCAAATTTAGAGTATAATCACATTAGCATGTTCTACTGATTAGAATCCCATTAGTGTGTGGGGTACGCATGCTCATCTTTGATAAATATTTGATAAATATTTGGTTGATTTAGTTTGGTGGAAAAAACAGCAGTTTTTATATATTTCAAAAAGCAATAACTTTAGCATAGAAATGTATGAAATATACCTTCACAGTTGATGCTCAAATGCTCAGTAGAAGCAACCTTTTTGCATAAGCTAAAAGGTTAATAATACATACACAGTATAAAGATGCCCTTGGTAAAACCGTTATTGACCTGGATTTTCAAAATAAACTCTGATGGATTGTTCATATTAAAGACTTGGCAAAATGAAAATGTCCTTTAAATGACCAATATTAATCTTGTCACACTTGTCAGTGAGAACTGGAGCTTTAATAATTACACCAGGGATTAAATCTTGATGCTGTTGCTGTGTGATTAGTTGGTCTGCCATTTTGTTTAGTTGTCTCCTAATTAGCATGTGTTTTTTCTCCTTTTCCCCTTCAGACCTGGGACTAGATCAGTTCATGGTGAAGCGCTATGATGGAAAGGTACGAAGTATTATAATAATATAAATAAATATTATATATTATACAGAAACATAATAAAATAAAAGTACATTTCTGTTCTTTACTAGGTTGCCTGTCCTTCAGAAGTAATCTTACCACTTTATGTTTTTACATCAGAGAATTCCTTCTATGTAAAATTCTGTTAGAGCTCTTTTGTTTTTTCAATTATGGGTAAAGAAAAAGTATTTTGCAAGACAACAGAATAGATTTCCATTCAAGTTTGCTCCGATTCCAAAACCCCTGAGTGATGGGTCCTATTTTTAATTTTTTTAAAATTATAACATCTGTCCTATTTATTGCTGAGAAGGATTGTTAAATAAAACCATGAAAAGGAGCATAGGGAAAGCCAAAAGATTTATTAGATTTATTAGATTAAAACACCCTATTTAAGTCTAATGAAATGCATTGTCTTTTTATTGCCAGTTTCACAAAAGTGAATTATTCTAAATGGAAGAACGAATGTGCTGACACCTCAGTTACCATGAGGATATTGTTGGTACTAAAACATTTTAGAGACTAAACAGAGGAGACTGTGGAAGTGAATACAATGTACATTTAAATTCTGCAGCGTAACATGGAAATGTCACACTGTGCTGTGTATGTCTGCTTATGTAAATGTTGTCCCTATATTCAGACACTGTGTCTGCCTTATTTGCCTGGCAAATGCAATGTCTTGTGGTTCTCCTTGATATTGTGCTAATCTTTGCTTGGCGCCTAAGATTTTTTTTTTATATGTCGTGACTAAAGTAGCCGGCTGCTGACATCCATGTCAGGCTTTATTCCAGCCATTTTGGCTCAGAGAAACACGCCTTCTTCTCAATGATCTAATTGGCACCTCTGGCTAGTTGGGTGTTGAATAAACATTAGGTTTTCCTGCCAAGAAGCCATGAAATGTATTTCTCATATAACTGAAAAGAGAAAAAAATCTGTGCAAAATGAAATGGCCATGACAAGTACAGCGGCGGAGTGTCTGAAGTGTGTAAATCATGAATTGATGAAGGGTGTGTTAAAGTGTGTGGGATGGGTCAGGGTCAGGTGGTAAACTGTGATTAAGGTGAAGGAGTAGAGTATTGTGTGAGAGTAACAAGGGAGCTCTCTCTAAAGACCTCTGTGTCTCAGGGCTTTTGATTTAATGTAAAAATAACCCAGTCCACTGAGGGATTTGCCACATGCATACAGTCAGGCTGTAGTGAAGTAGAAGATAAAAGTGCATGTGTTCAAATCTCTCACTGCATCCCTGTCCCTGCTCTTTTACTGCTGGGGTTTATTTGTCCTTGGGATAATTTTTATGTAGGCAAACCTTTCATGTCCTATCTAGATGTTTAACAAGTGCTGCTCATATTGACTGATTCTGTTTGTCATATTTTTATTTTCCTGTCAACAGGAACATGTTTATTTTAGAAGCTTTTAAACTGCTCTGTTTGCTCAGCCGGTTGTTTAACTGCACGTCTCTGCTGTGGATCAGTTAATCTGCTCTTATTCACTCCATGTGGTCTCCTCCTCCTACCCCGATAATAAGGGCGTGCGTTCAGCAGCCGTAATCATGTGTTGACGTGACCTGACCTTGACATTGTTAACTGTTGATTTATATTTTTGTGCTATTGTCAGCCATTCTCTCTCATTTACATATCGAGTAATCCCACCATTTTCTCTCTCCTCCTTTTCCTCGTGAATAATCATCGCCAAATCCCTGGTTTCCAAAATCTCCACTTTTTTTCCTCCCCCCAATCATTCCATCCACTAAATCCCCATTATCTTCCCCAAAAACTCCCCCACCCTCCTCGTCTCCTCCCTCTCCTTCCTCCTCCTCCTGTCTTTCTTTCCTTATGCCCCGCCTCAACTCTGCCCTTTTGCCCCCTCCCTCTCTGCAGGACTTCTGGCAGGTATGGGGTGTGTTCTGAGCAGCATGTGTGCACCTGAATGAAAGAAAATGCACTTTGTATTCTGTACTTATTCCTCTCTCTCCTTTGTACTACTACTTCTTCAGTCTCTCTCTCTCTCTCTCTCTCTATTTAACGCTCTCTACCACTCACTTTCTCATGCCACTGTAGTGGCATTGACTCCTCACTTCAAATAACTATTCACCTTAGTTAGTCCAGGGGAACAGCCACGGGTGTGAAATAACTATTATCTTAAATTCACAGTGTTAAATACACAGTCTTGTTTAGAGCAATGACCCCAGTGACCAGCGCCACAGCTGTTAGATGAGATCAGAAATCAATGGATGGATCATAAAATAATACATGAACCTTACACCTACAGTAACTGCCCCAGTTTATACTTACTGCAGGTTTACTGCACAGCAGAATAAGAAGTGGGAAATCAAACTGTATAAGGGACAGAAAAGAGACAGTACTTGTTCTACTATTGACCAGCCATTTAAGCAGAAGTCATAATTTCAAAGATGGTGTTAAAAATGTGGTTTTCCTGCAATATTTGTATTCATTAGTTTCCTGTTTAGGCAGACACGGGCTAGTACATGGTCATGTTTTAATTAATTTAAAAATAATCAATCTGAGTGTGTTTGCCACATTTTCCACTCCGGGTATTTATTTATTCTAAAGATATTCTAAAATGTCCAAAAGACACGTGGGTGTATTACTATGTGGTTCATTTTTATTAGCCCAGATTTATATTTCTTATTTTTTTCCCATTAATGTATATATAAGAATATGCAGCAAAATGCATTTTGTAACATTGAACAGGACACATTTCATGAGAAGGAGTGATGTCTAGTCTTTTGTTGAATGCATTAAAGGCAGATGCAAACTTTTGCATTGTGGGACTGTGTTGGATACCTTACTGGTGCCTTTGTCAAGCTGGTTTCACTCAGCTGCTTGTCATGTCATTGTACATTATTAACAATGTACAATAGGATTTATCAAACAGCATTATTATTTAGTCAGTGCCCCCAAACTAAGAATATTTGTGGTCCAGTTTTAGGAACAACATTGGTGATGTTGCTCAAATTACTTAAAATTAGGTTTTTGTATTGATCTTGTGTATTATTGTAGCAGTGCTGTTCCCCTGCACTCCCTTGCTCTCTTGCTCTCTAAACATTTGTTTTCTCCTCATCTTTCATAACTTCTAAATAAAAAACACCCTTAGCATTCCTTTTGCTTTGGCAATTAAGACTGTTCTTCAGCATGCTGAGCTCTATTGTCTGTCTCACAGAAAGAGTAATAGGTGGTGGCGCCTTCTCTCTGCGCATGGTGGCATCACAGGGTGGTTTTGGACGCAGGAGACGGCTCTTGTAGCTAACATCCAGGCTGCGTTGATGTGCTTGAAATCTGTGCCTTCACAAATCCATTCCCTTGACTGTTTGAATGTCACTGCTGCATGTTTGTTTTGTAGAGCATGGTTTAGAGTCACTGAAGGCACTACTTTACAATATCTGATGTTCTGAAATGTATGACAGTTTTTCCAATGTGCTGTGGCCTTCACTCTCTGTGAAGCCACAGTGTGGCCCACATGACCAGCTGCAGCTGAGCCAGGACAGCTGTCACTCAGTGTGCGCTGCTTCAGTGCAAACCAGGCTCTTGTTACACCAACTGTTGTCATGTTCACTGTTTTTTTTTATTTCACAGTAAGCTCCCAGGGTGTGACGTTTGGATTTTGACATTGATGTTTCTCGGTGTCTTCTCAAGTTGTCCTGAATTCTCACATGACTCTTTTCCCCTCTTCCTGTCTAATACGCTGTCTAGAAACACTGTACACAGCACACCTACGCATTAGAATGCTTCTCTCTCTCTCTCTCTTCTTCTTCTCTCTCTCTCTCTCTCTTGTGTCTCTCTCTCTCGCTCTCTCCTGTCTCTCTCTTTCTCTCTTTCTCTCTCTCTCGTGTCTCTCTCTCTCGCTCTCTCCTGTGTCTCTCTCTCTCTGTGTCTCTCCCTTTCTGTCTCTTTCTTCTTCTCCCTGTTCTAATCCAGGAGAGGTTGGGTTCTCTGAAACTTTTGTCAGCTAATTTGGCTTCTTCCTCTCTCTTTAAATAGGGCAACTGCCATTCCTCAGTGTCAGAAGCATGTTTATGCTGCTTTCCACACCATGGCTCATTATTCTGAATGTGCTTCCAGATATTGTTAAGTTATTAATAGAACAACTGCTCTACACTTACCCTTGGGAACAAAGCCAACACAATGCCATAAAAGCTCGTATTAGCCCTCACACCTATTTTTCAATCAAAGATCTGTTTTTTTTAGTATTATTGTCATATGCAAGAAGAGAAAGTGGCCAAAATCTGATTTTTCTTTTTCTGACAGTGTGAATGGCATGAAGCTAATTTATGTCAAATCCGACCCAAGCCAGTATAATGTGTGTACATGAGGGAGACAAAAGCTGGTAAGTCATCTGCAACAGGTCTAACCATTGGGGCAGCAGAAGCTCTGATTTGATCGGAAAGCAATCAAATTGACCAATATATGATATACACACACATTGGTATGTGTAGCATCCATATTTACTTCTATGAGAAGAGCATGTGAAGTTGTGTCTTTTTTTACACTGAAGGTCATTTCAGGCTGTAGACTCTTCTCGCTGCCATTTGGTGCTTTCATAGTGTAGCGGTTAGCACGCCTGCCTTTGGAAGCAGGGAGCAGAGGAACCATGCAAGAAACCAGAATTGAGCTGCAGCTTTAGTCTTGACCTTTGTAATTTGCAAGAATCTTTACTTAAGTTCTTAACACAGTGTGATGTTTAGTAAGATTGTCAAAGTTTTTACTTAAAGGTTGTTCACAAGATAAAAAATAAGAAAAAAAAATCCAAATTGAATTTTGATGCATTTTTTTTTGTCAACCTTTTTTTGTTAGTTTAAAATGGAGAGTCAGGTCCAGGTTGGTTTAACCCTGAGGTAGATGCTTTTAAAGTCTTTCCCTTTTATTGTTTCACTCATGTCTTTCATTGTCCCTGCCTAATGACAGTAGTCCCCAAGCCACTGCATGTTAAGCAGTACAGAGTACACAAAGATACTGATACATTTTTAATGCAGTTGACTCACTTTGAACTCTGTGCCAGACTACAGAGTTTTTGCCATATTATTTCCAATCATAATTCAGTTATTATTACATTATTACATACAGTTTTTAGACAGACAGGTTAAACATGGCTGTGCATAATTCTGAAACACTCACACATTAACCAGACAAAATCAGAGCTTATGCGAAATCTAAAATGTTTAATTCTGCATTTACCTGTTTTGTTAAGCATAGTTGTACCTGTCAATATCAATGTCCTAAAGAAGTCTTTTTTCTTGTAGTGGGGTATTAGTGATAAAACCTGAGCCCCCGTGAAGCTCAAATCTAGTCTCCGATCACCCAGCTCCCCAGTCTTTCTATCTACTGTTATCAGGGTGTCTGCAGCTGCAGTGTTGGATAGTTGCAGTCCAATCAATAACAGAGCGCTGCAACTCTGGGTCCAAGTCTTAGCTGTCATCACTCCATAAGCCAGGTCTCAGATGCCACAGAGTGCATGTGGAGCATAAGAAAATCATAGTAGTAGAAGCAGTTAGAACACATAAAGATTCCACATGAGATTTTTCTGTACTCAGACGTACATTGTTGAAGCCAACTAATTGAAGATCTGTTAGTAATAGCAAAATTATCTAAATAGTGCATAGTTTCTACAGCTTTGAATAATTCAAATGCACTTTTAAGTCAGAATGTGTGATAAGTGAGCAAAAACAAATTTAGAACCCCTGCATGCATGACCCTGGCTGTGCTTGACTCACATTAGTGTCACTTGTTGACCTCGTAAAGCTTGAGTGAGTTTAAATTTGGCCTGGACTAGCTATTAGGCAATCTGTCCTGACCAAACCCAAATCCGTCCATCCTCAGACCCCCTCCGCCTCGGCTCACAGTCTAGTCACGTGGTTCAGTGAGTCCACGGACTTGGCCGTAAGGTCATTGGCTTAAGAAGCCACATTGGGTGAAATTATCAGGGTAGAGACAAAAGTTCTAAAAGAAATCTGCTCATGCACATCAGGTGCTGAAAGGTTATCATTGACCACCATTGACAGAAAAGGATACAGCCCTTCAATTATACAGATTAAGCTGATTAAGGACCCTGCTAATTACACATATTTCAACTGAGGAGGATTACTAAGCTAGATACTGATCAAAATGTAAAGTAGGTTTATTTATAACATTTTTAACAAATGCATCTTTCTCCTAAGGGCGTTTAGGCTTTAATTCTTTATTTATTAATCATAGTTTGTCCCCAGCTGTAGGTAAACAGTTTACTTTGTATGCACAAAGGACTAAAAGAAACATATTATGGAGAGAAATCGAAGAAAATGCCATGTTGGGTCTCTTTATGTTTTGTTTTTTTTTTTTTGTTTGTTTTTTTTAACAACAATATAGAAGGATTAAAAAAGACCCCCAAAAGCAACTCTGTCTGTTCTCTAATATCACCAATGTGAAAAATAGAAAGAGTTTCAGGATATTGTCAGCACAGTGGGACAGTTGGGGTGAGAGTTCCTCAGAGAGAGAATTGTGTTTTTATTTCCAAAACAAAAAGGCTGTATCTAAGTAAACAAAAAGCTGTGGGTATATTTGTTATTTTCTCCTTGAACAGTCTGGCAGTCAGATATATAGTTCAGCTATAGTCTGAGTTCACTTCTTTATATATTTGTCTTATTTTTAATGTCGTCCTGGCTTTTCTGTGGGGGACGCTTTTGTCCTTGATTCAGGCTAGTAAAAAAAAAATAGGGAGTTATTATGCCTCGTGCACTCTGTGCCTCTGTTGTAATCATTATAATGAGCCCCAGTGTGTTTATGTCTCTTATGTGCGTGGGTGTATAACAGCAAATACACATTCACCTGCCGAAATACACACCCCCGTGTTGTGCGAGGTTTTCTTTTTACTTTGTGCTTTGACATTAGGTCGTCTCACCTGGTTTCCACAGAGATTTTCTCCACAGTGTGCCAGCGTTTCACACTCAGGAGACCAACACCAACCTCTTCCGAACTCTGTCCTCACCTTCTGGTTTTGTTTCCTTCTTCTACAACAGACAGACTCATGCTGTAGTTGCCAATTTCTAATATTTATCACAGCACAGAAACACACCTAGGGCTTCAAGACTGACTGCAAATATTTTATTTTTTATTTTTTGTCATGCAGCTAACTGCTCCGAAAACATTGTTTTTGTTCTCTTCAATTCCCTTCACTTCTTATCTTGGAAATACTTTTCATAACAAATCTGACAGTGAAAACTCAATTACAAGGTTCCACATTTTCAGAGAACATTCGTGACTTTAAAGAATATGATAGTTGGAATTTGTTGGTTTTAATTACAAACCTAAATCTAACATTGGTAAAAAAAAAAAAAACAACAACAACAAAAAAAAAAAATCAAGAAAAAAAGGCTGAAAAGTCACATACAACTCCAAAAATGTTCCTTGTATACCATTCAATTTGGTCTACTGTAGTCCATGCAACATCTGCATAAAGGACACCATAACTTTGAGTAGCGGCTCAGACTGGACACCATGGGGGCCACATTCAGAATAATGATAATTAGATAAACACGCATCCTATGTTTTACAGAAGATGGTTTACAGGGAAATAACTGCTGGACCACTGCAATTGGCTTTTCGAGTGAGGAAAAGCCCATTTCTATTAGTTTCAATTAGTCTTTTATTTCGATCTTTTATTATCAGCCTCCATTGACTACAGTATGAGGCAAAGATGGAGAGAGAGAAGACACTGAATGGATTTGTTCTGACTCTTATTACAGCCTTGTTAGTAGAGCCTATCACTGTATTCTGGTCCTAATCACTTCCCTTGCTTTCATCTCTCTATTTTTCTCAGGCATGCTTCTTCATCCGTGTAAATTGTAATCACAGAATGCAGAGAAGGCTAATTAAATTGCATTCCTAATTTGAGTTAGATTCCTCTAATGATCTGCTTTTGAATAAGATGTTTCTGTGTGTATAGGAGTGTGTTTCTGTTGTTTGTGAAGATATCACAGCACATGTGTCTCTGTTGTCCAATGCCTTGCTGATAACAGCAAAGGCTGCTCTGTTCTCTAACAGTTTTCTCTCCTCCTTCCTCCTCTGAATTGGACTCCTTGCAGACGGAGGTAACTCCACATGGGCTCAGCGAGGCCCCGTCTCTCCTTCTTTAGGCATGCTCTGTCCATCTGTCCACTCTCTCTGGTGGAATTTAGTATTTGTCAGGACACCTGTCCTCTTGAGTCTTTTAACACTGGGTGTGTAGTGTGCATGTGATTAGTCGTAGTTCTCATGCAATGCTGTAAATATATATACACATGCTAACTAGAAAAAAAATCCTTATTGTGTTATTTTTGTGTGTTTGATGCGGTGAATGACTTTTAATCACTTTGTTAATCACTAATAATACATTTGGGTTGTGTTACAGACATTGTTAATCAATAGTGTGTGTGTGTGTGTGTGTGTGTCTGTGTCTGTGTGTGTTGGTACCACAGGCTCTTTTGTGATGTTTTCTCCTCTCTTTATGTCAGTTTCACACTGTGAGTACAGCCTCTGTGACTAATGTGTTGTTGCACTTTATACTGACCCCAGACTGTCACTACCACACTCACCTGCCTGTAATGGCTTCATGTGTATGCAGCACTTGCATGAATGTTGTAGTGAACTTCTATACATATTCATCCCTGTGTGCGGTGTGTCTGTCTGTTTGTGCGTATGTGCTTATTTGTAAAAGAGAACACATACGTGCACACACACAGACACACCTGGGGCAGCTGCAAGAGCTGTGAAGCTTTTGCTGAGTCATGTGAAAGTCTTACTCACTTTTCTTCTTTGATTTTTCTTTCCTCTTTTATGTTTGTCCCGGCCTGGATGAGCAGAAAATCGCCCAGGAGAGAGAGAAGTTTGCCGATGAGGACAGCATATTTTTCTCGCTCGGAGAATGTGGCCTAATCTCCTTCTCTGACTATATCTTTCTGACCACTGTGCTGTCCAGTAAGTATTGTTGAGACTTTCCTATAAAATAAAAAAAATGTAAGGTCGCTTTATGTTTAATGCAAATTCTTCCGCATGGATCATGAATCAGTTGTCACTCTTCTTCCTTCCTTTTTTTAGTTACTAAACAATAGAGATTGGTATTTAAGTCCACTAAATTCAGTCACTATAAAACGTCCCTTCACATATCAGTAAACTTTTGAGTGATAAAAGCAAAAGCTTTTATCTCTTGATTATCGCTAACTGCAGCTTTCTTCTTCAGTTACTCTGACAGTTTATGTCTGTAGGATTATGGCTTTTTTTATTCAGTAGGATTTGGGTACAGTATTCTGGATACAATGCACATCGTAGTATTTGCAGACAGAACAGGAAGAACCTTGTGCTGGTAGTAACAGTTAATGTTGCTTAACTTGTGCTAAGCAACATACCAGTGCTAAGCAACATACCTGTTAATGGTGCTTAGCTTGTGCTAAGCAACACTAACGGGTACGACCAGCACAAGTGTGATCGAACTCTCTCCCTCAGTAGTTTTAAAAGCAAGGACGTGTTCGTAAATAATAAGAATGAGAAGGAAAATATTTCCATGTCTGACCTACTGCTACAGACAATGCTCAATGACCTTGAAAATATCAATGCAATGTATAGGACTACTTGAAACCCCTGACTCCTTTCCCAATATATGCAAGTAAATTTCTCTCATTTTTCTTCATGTTGCTTGGTCATTCATTATATTTATGCTCTGCGAAGAAAAGTCTCCTGGGAACATTTCAAGGACGTGTCATTTTTAAACTGTCAGGGCAGCCTGATGTTTTTGGTCTCATTTCATTTAACATCACTTAAAAATAGCACAAATGTGACCATACTTTACTCACCAGATGCTCTTAATGCTACTCTCTGTATTTACTTTTTCTGAGTACTCAGTAAAATGTTGCACAGTTTATAATATTCTTAGATACAATCTGTTCATACTGTCATGATATTTAGGGTTAACAATAATTTGTTATTATCAGACTGTGTGTCACCTGCAAAGTCTAAAGTTTAGAAAATACAAAGAGGCTTCAGCAGATGCAAATGAAACCATTATTGATGCAAATTTTTGTTTTTTCCCAATACAAACAAGACAGGCCTCCTGTTAGCAGCTCCCCTATCTGCTGACGTTGCTGCTGATTGTGTAGTACTCACTGTGCATATAATGGCTTAAACAAAACAAGTGTCTCAAGTAGTTCACACTGCACCACTGAGGGCAAGATGAGGACTGAGGATGTTGCATAGCCAATGTGTGGTGACTGACTTAATATTGAACTCTTTAGCTGCTGTTTGGGTTTGATACAATGTGATGCTGGTGTTTTTTAAGTAGCAGAGTGATTTGAAGAAGTTGTGTTTTGCAGCTCCCCAGAGAAACTTTGAAATTGCTTTCAAGATGTTTGATCTGAACGGTGATGGAGAGGTGGACCTGGAGGAGTTTGAACAGGTGAGCATCCCAGTTTCAGTTATCAAAGAAAACCATGGAAACGAGGTTTTGATATTATACATATGCTCCATCAGTATGTTCCTATTTTTCAAGGGTTAAAAAAAGACAGACTGTAGCAATTATCAAGATTAAATGGAAAAAACAAACAGGTGCAATTCAACCAATTACACACAGACACAGTACTAATCTGATTAATAATAGCAGCAGATTGGACGGCAGTGGCTCATGTTAACTAATCAAATCTGATATTCTGATATTCTGATATTATCATGATAAAAGGGATTATAATGACTATAATAATATTAAGCATAGTAAGGGTAGCATTTATTCATCCAATCCCTAGAGTCATGTCTTGAAAGGAAATCCTAATATAATATAGTTTTCATTTAACTTTGTGACTCCAGAATAAGCTTGTTCCACTGATCACCTGCAGTCACACTGTACACTGTATTCTCTCGTCCTGGGTGACGTTGTACTCTCACCATCCTTAGGTCCAGAGTATTATTCGTTCTCAAACCAGCATGGGCATGCGGCATCGTGATCGCTCCACCACAGGTAACACCTTGAAGACAGCTGGCTGCAGCTCTGCTCTCACCACCTACTTCTTTGGAGAAGACTTGAAGGGAAAACTCACCATCAGCAGCTTTCTGGAATTTCAGAGGAAATTGCAGCACGATGTGCTCAAACTAGAGGTATAGAAAAATGCAAAGATAATGGTTTGCTTTATTTCTGTGCACATGTAGTTTCATTTGAAAGGCAAGTCTTTGCATTGATCTTAAAACTGGTCTTAAAATGTCCACATAAACTTGGGCAGCATTGTGGCCCAGTGGAAGTAAAGCTTATCCCTCACTACCAAAGTGGATAAGAAGTCAGTCAAACTAAAACAGAGGAGGAAGCGAGGATATTACAGTGACAGTTGGAACATTATACAAATCAACTGAAGTCTTGTGATGACAGGAATAAGGTTTGGGTTGTCTGCCAGCTCAAATCACATTCCCTCACGCCGTGCTGTGGCAGTAAAATATAAAAGACATCTTCTGCCACTGCTCCAGACGCCTTTCCTGTTTCTCTCTGCAGTGACAGGGACTGATCATTGTTGTCAAGCATGTGGTTATTCTTCTAATTAGTGCGGCTCTCTTCCTACTGATAAAATGAACTTAATGGGAGGCATCTTCTAAAGCTCTGAGATCAGGACTCAAGATGAAGCTGCCAGGAGGGAAGTGCAATCTGTCAAGTGTTAATGATAGCTCGTGTTTCCGAGCGAGCTTTCACAATGCCACAAATAAGGGTGACCCTTTCTAACACTGGTGACCCTTCATTCCCCGTTCATCTGCTAATGCTGCAGCTTAACTAGTGACCTATTTGATTACTATTCTAACTACCAATCAACTGGTTCAGGTTCAAGTATTTTTCATGCCTATGGTATTCATTCCAGGTTTTTGCTGGTCTTATAAAGAAAAACATTTTCCCTGAAGAATTGAAAGCAGTATGGAGACATTTTACAGCAGGTGTACAGCAGTGTTTTTTATATATCACATATTTATTGAAAATTATGCATCTCATTAATTGTGATAAGAACTGCAAATGCCTGCTTACAAAACAAAGTCCTTCATCAGTGCATGAATTGTCAGGTCAACCCTGAAATCTTCACTTCTGGCTTTTTTCTGCCTTAATCATGAGCTGCGTGAATCTGGAGTGTCCTAAATTAACATTTTGAAAGAGTCAACACAAAAAGCACTGAACAAAAAGCACAGATGGAGCCTTGTGGCTGTCAAATAGAATCAGATATAAATCAACCGCATTGACCTGGTACGTCTGGGACCTACTACTTCTGCACTATAAATAAAATCAAATGTAAATTTTGTGTAAACATCACCAGCTCTACACGTGATCCAGCCTGAAGCCTGACAATAGTACTTACTGTTTTCTATCTATCCATAAACACAACTGCCCCTAATAATCTATTTTTTCTAAGTGCACTTTTTTTGCAGTTTGATAGGAATGATCCAGTGGACGGCAGAATCTCTGAGAGACAGTTTGGTGGAATGTTGCTGGCCTACAGTGGCGTCCAGTCTCGTAAACTGAAGCAGATGCAGAAAGGCCTGAAGAAAATGTTCAAGGATGCACAGGTGATTGTGAAGTGATTTGCACTTATATGCAGTTAGATGTGGTACTGTGTGTGTACTCCAACCAACTGGTCTACGTGTGAGAGTATGTGAAAGCCATTCTGTGCCCGAGGTGACAGAACGTTCTGCTCGAACATTGGGACTGTGTGAAAGTGACGAATGAGCAGTAATACATCACCTGGGAAAGGACGGCACATCCAGGGCCTGATGTCACACATGTGGCCAGCATTCACTCTTCTTTGTTGTTACTATCTTTAGTGTCGAAGCACAGAGCAGCCACTCCTGAGCACAGGGACAATGTTTTGCACCTATTCCACTGTCAGTGTCTGCCCTGACACTGACTGTTTGTATTAGGTTCTGTCATTGTTAAAGTTTAAGGAATCATGTTTTTCTCCCCATCACACAGCCATTTTTGCTGAAATGAGAAATACCGCTGTTTGTAACAAACAGGGCTGTGTTCAAGGCCCAGCTCTAAAAAATCGTAACTATTTTTAACATGCTCAAAATCCGATTTAACTTTCTGTAAAGTTTATTCCGGTCAAACTAACTGAACCACTAGGTTCTCTTTGAGTTGTGGTTACAAGCGTAGTTTATGTTTGACTAAATTGTCTTCAGTCCTGCTGACAGTACACATTGTCCTCCAACAGCAGAGCTATAGGTCAAAAGCAGTGGCATTTTACCTTTAGTGCAGCACTCTGGCCCAACAGGAAATAATCAAACAGTATGGGAAGTGTAAAAGAACAAAAGATGTTGGAGGCATTGTCACTTCTATTCCAAATGTCGAGCACCCACTTTAGGGTCATGCTGGTTCTGCTGCACTGTAATGAACCCCATCAGTCAAATGACTGACCTTTATATATTGTAAGCCCAGTGAAACAAAACTCCAGAGTTCCCCTTTGGTTAAGTTTAGAATAACTACATTCCAGTTTATTGGTGTACTGAGCACAGATGTCAGACTGAGCAAGAATTCAACTCAAGTGCGGTGGCTAAATCCACTGATTAGCAAAGAAAACAGACAACAGGGATTCTGTTGTTCCTTCCAGACATGGGAAAAAGATGAGGCTGAGTGCTGCCAGAGTTGTGTCTCTTCAGGGAATTAAACTGCACCAGATCTTTCTCTCACACAGTCACACACATACTGACCCTTTCTCATAGACTTAAAAAAGCCTATAATGTTAAACAATTTCTGGGAAATTTCAGGGAATAAATGACACATTTTTGGAACTAGGCCCATCAGTGTTGTGGCCACAGGCTGTGTCTCTGTGTCTAAGGCAGCTTGTTACCCTGTTTATCCCAGCTCACTGTTCATCCATGTGGAGGGCATCACATATTTGAGACACTCCAGAAATATCATTGTCATGATAACAGATGACACATTTTCTACAGGAACCAAGACTGAACTTGACTCTTTTGTCACACTGCAGTAAATAATTTCCTTCTGATTTTCTGCATTTGGTCTGATTCATGTTTCATGTCTTCCTCCTCTGCAGGGAATCACATTTGAGGAAGTGGAAAACTTCTTTACTTTCCTTAAGAACGTGAATGATGTGGACACAGCACTGAGTTTCTACCACATGGCTGGAGCCTCCATAGATAAAGGTACGCGTCTGTGTCACCTCTATTCTGCTGAATGTCTCTCTACCTCTCATTCACTCAGAGAGCTGTCGTTTCCAGACAACTCCCACATCTCCTTTTGCCTGGCCTTGCTCCCAGAAGTAGCTCAATTGTCATTGGTTTCTTTATACGTCCATTTGTCTCTCATTTCTTCCATCAGTCCTGCCACAAAGTGCCCCCTTTTGTACCTTTAGACCCCTTTTACCTCAATTGCTGATCTACCATTATGGAATTATTTTTCCATGAAGGTAAATCATCTTGTGACATTAATGCAATTCTGTCATGTTCTTAAAACCATATTTTTAGCCAAATCCTTTTTTTAAGTGACAGTTGCAGCTGTCGTTTAATTTAGTTTCTCCTCCAACAAAATTAAACTGGTACTATTGTACCAGTAGAATGGTTAGTAGAAAAATATCAATCTATCCACCCACAAAATGGATTTTTGTTTAATTAAAACCAGCAGACAAGGTTGTCATTGATTTTCAGTCAGTGGAATAGTTATTTTATTTATTTATTTATTTGTTTAACCAGTTAATGCACATCATCTGTCATTCACTTGCAATTTGAATGATGGCATAGAGTCAGAAAAGCAGCACAATAATCTTTCAGAAGAGAGACCTTAAAAAAAACAAGCAAGCTTTTATTAGAGAGGCTGCATCACAAAGAGCCACTCATAAAGAGGTGGTTCAGGCATCTGATTAGGATGCACAGGTAGTACCTCCTATTAGAGTTTTCGTGGCTGAGCTTAACAATAGAAACTAAACTCTGTGCTGACATTACATATCTTGTCAGGACATGGATGCCAACTCTATATAACCATCAGAAAATTAATATCTGGTACAACTGGATGTTGGGAAGTGCTCTTTAAGAATAAGAATAATTGTGAACAGACAGTTTTGGCTCAACATCTTTAGGTCCAACACAGTATCAGGTTGAACATAGTGATATGGATGTTGCAGTTCCGACAGAATTGTTAACATTTTGGTTTTAAAGGCTCAGTGGGAAACTTACTTGAACTGCAAATGTCACACTTATTCTATCAAACATATAGTTATATAGCTATAACTACCTTTCTCATGGTGTTATTTTTGTACAATCCACAATAAGCATATTATAATGCGGAGCCACAACAGTAGTAATGAAAAGCTTTTTTTTTTTCTCTATACAACCGAGACAACGTTTGTTTGATTTTCCAATGTTTCCTTCCGTCTCTTGTTATTCAGTCCATTAGTTGATCCCCAAATGTTATCTGTCAGCAAAAGCATTAGTTCTGAATCACTGATGAAACAGCTGCTGCCTCCAGACAGTGCAGATCCACCTTAGGTGCTTGTTTCTGGTGGATTTCAGCTGCACATCTATACACAGAAAAAAAGAAGGTTGGAGTTGTGGAGGAATATTGGACACAGCGCAGTGGGTTCACAGAGTGCTGCCAGGCATGAGTCTGTAAATTATCTCAATCCTTTCTTCTGTTGGCTGTGCACTGAAAGCTTCTCTTAAGCAGACTGAAGGTGGTCTTTTCCTCACTGTCGTCTTTAGCTCAAAACTAAGAATCTGATGCTGTTTTTGCACAGTTTTGAAACTGTGTTTTCTGCTGCTGAAATACCTGCAGGAATAAACTGTCCTTTCATACATAAACCCCCACAGATACTAATGACTGTCAGCTAAGACTGTGTTTTTCTGTGTCTCCCAGTTACCATGAAGCAGGTGGCCCGCACTGTTGCCAAGGTAGAGCTGTCAGATCATGTGTGTGATGTGGTGTTCGCTCTGTTTGACTGCGATGGTGAGTAACTGACAGCTTCATCATAACACTGCCGATGCAGAGATTTACAGAAAGCAAATAACATTCCCGCCGACAGATGGAAACTTGAAGTAAATTGAAGTAGACTCCTCCTGGTACTCGTGTCGTTTTTGTATTATTTTCATCTTCTCACTGTGTGCCCCCAGGGAACGGAGAGCTGAGTAATAAGGAGTTCATAGCCATCATGAAGCAGCGGCTGATGCGTGGACTAGAAAAACCAAAGGACATGGGCTTCACCCGACTGGTGCGGGCCATGTGGAAGTGCGCCCAGGACACTGCCTGGGATTTCGCCTCACCCAAGACATAGAGTGTGAGTGAGAAAGAGAGACGGACACTGTGTGACAAGAAAAAAAAAACAACACTCCAAACATCAAAACAGAATCTTTTTTCCACAGGTCCATAGAATTTAAATAGACCATTTATGCAATGAACTCATTAGGGCGACAGCTGTCGGAGGCTCAATCAATCATTAATGCATGTCGATGTAGTTCAAGATGTCAATACAGTGACTGAAGCATGCGGACGCAGCATTCTGTGTCCTGGAAGGGCTCTCTGCTGCACCTGCCCAAAGCATTGTCTGTATTTGTGTATTTACAACTATACATTTAAAACACTGTACATATATTTGTTTGCCATTAACCATAGCACCACCTGCAGCACATTAACTGACACTAAAATCAGCCCACTGGTGTACACTTTGTTTTAAAGGAAGCGAGAAGAGAAATCAGTCAAACTAGATTTGTGCTCCATAAAAAACAGAGAACATTTTGTAGAAAGGACTTTTATTGAGCACCTCACATTGACACATACATAGGTATTGCTTCAAAACATTATTAAAAGGCTGTAATTCTTTAAAAACAAAACTGCTGTTTTGGCTGAAAAAAGAAATTAAATTACAAACCAGTGCAATCTTTCCACTGTTGGACAAAAAAATATTAAATTTAATTTTATGTTAAAAGTAATTGCTGTGTCCCTCAGGAGGGCCTGGCCCAGACTTTGGGTGTCACTGATCAATTCAATCAAAAATACTTGTTTTGCTTTATTGTACTGTTTAGTGTGTAACGTTCCAATTGTTTCTTACCGAAACACTTCATGTAAGATGGTGTTTATCACAGAACTGCTATATTAAAGATGTTTTGATAATGTTGAACCGCTACAGTTTTTTTCTCACTGACTGTGGAGCTGTACAACAAAACATGAAAGGTTGAATAGAGATTCACAAAAAACAAGACGTCTCTGATCTGTGCAGTCATTATACCATCATTAGGTTTGATCTGTGTGAACCTGATAATTCATTATTTAATTAAAACTCCAGTTCATTCCTGATCATGTCAGGTGATTCCAAACAGATCTGCTGATGTTGAAGTTAAGGCCAAGTGAAAACCACGTGAGAAATGGTAATGTGTCTGCATTTTGATCACTAACAGATCTTTTCAGTTTTGCAGCACCGAACCATCAGAGAGCCTCCTATAATATAGTCTGGAGCTTTCAGACACTGACGGATTTCTTCTCCTGTCTGGCTCCTAATAATTTGTCAAACGTATCTTTTTCTTTTGTCCCACCTCTGAGTCTTTCCATCGCAGTCCTCCAATAGACCACTTCTGACAAGGCTGTCTGTGGGACAGTCAACATGTCCAGATACACTTTTCATGTCCTGTTCAGTCAGATTCTTTTCACTAGATTCTTTCTGTACGTCAGGGAAGCCATTTTGAGAAACGTTATCAGCCTTTAAGTTTTCTGGGCTGCCATTACATTTTCTATCCCCTGTTTGTCAAGTTTTGTCAAGATTGTCTCTACACAGTAATAGATTTCAACTTCCTGGTAAGTAGCCCACTTCATTGGCCCATTGTTATTGTAACACAGTTGATGAAGACATTAGCAATGCTATTTCCACAAACTAGTTTAGACACTTGGTTAAGAAATTTGATTGATGCAATACAATGAATGACGTTTTGATACCTTCATTACAAGGGTTTAACACCTTTGGGGAGGCATTAGTGAATGGACACTGAACATTAAAAGAAATGAGAATGTCTGCATTAGCAGAGGAAAATTACTTTTTTGCAAATAAATTACTGAGCAGATGATGATCAAAATCTTTTTTTTTTACTTCCTGTTCAGTTGAAAAACAAGAAACCAGCGTTGGCCAACAACCTGACAAGAAAACAGTAAAACAAAAAACAAATGCTACATGTATTCATTTAGGTGTACGGTTTTTGAGAAATGTACTACTTTTTTTTCATGCAGTGCTTGAGAGAGTGTTTGTCAGAGAGAGAGAGAGAGTATGTGAGAGTGGTCAGCAGTTTTGTGTAATTGAAATGGACAGGATGGGCCATCTTCAGCCTGCACTGCCCATTAAAAGATTGTCCTGCAGCACACACACTGCTGCATATGGTCTGAAACTAGTTGGCTTGTTCTCTTGCTTTGCTCCCGTTGCAGCTGACAGGCAGGAAGTGGTGCTCAGGACCGACTGCCAGGCTGGAGATTAGTCTCAAGAGTCTCTTATCACTTCTTCACCTTTGTTCTTCTTTAAGCCTGTAAGTTTTTAACACTCTTGGCTGTAGCCCACAAGAATGAATACTATACAATGTCTGTTTTTAATGGTCTTTATCTCCTTGAAACACCCTCCTCCACCTCCACCCAAAACAATTGTTTATACTTTACTACCAAAAAACATTGAGATTCATAGAGTAAAAATATTTGCAGAAATTAATTAAAAAATGTTATAGAATCATGCAACAACATCCCTTTAGTCATGTGATTTGTCACTAGTAGTGTATGGTGTTATTCA